TTTTTTCTTAAGATAAATGTGAAAAATAATTAAAAGCATTTAAAATTTAAATTATATGAAAACTAGAATGCAAATTTTCTTAAAGTAATAAAAATGTTTGACAAACTTCTTGTTAGATGGATTTTATTAAACAAATACAATAGTCAATGATACAAGTACAAAATCTGAATTTTGACATGCACTTTTGCTTTTCAATGTCACTTTAAATGTTTTCAAATCAATACAATTATAAAGAGAAGTAAAATTGGCAAAACATGTTAAAATGTTCAAAGAAAAACATCAGTTAACTTAATCAAAGTTTTAAAATTTAGCTGCTGGATAAAATTTTATCTTGACTATACATTTACCTACACTTACATAATTTGACATATAATATGGCATTATAGGGATAGATTTTCTGAATAAAAACATGCATTTTTATAGTATTAATATACAATTACAACAGAAAAGTATATGTAAACATATGAAAATGACGTGTTTCATTTCATTAATTAAATTGAAATTACTTTTAGTTTTCATCATGAATGAGTAATTCATTTGTTCTTCAAAACAGTTTGTGTATTTCAAAACTTTAGAATGAAATATGAAATGTAAAATCACATTGTCACTAAGTCATTAATAATCTTTTTTAATCTTAAATCTTTTTCTCAAGCAGATGATCATTATCAATATAAACCCCAATAAATTTCATTAAATATCTGATGTAAATGAAATTAGAATGCTGAATGATCAAAAGTAAAAAAGAAACTAGGAATACAAAAATGATTAACAGTATCAAAGATTACAGCAGGATTGATATCATAAGAAATTATTATTATAAAAATATTAGTAAATTTTAGAAGCCTTCATTTTTTTATTATAAATTTATGATTTAAATACAAATTTATTAAGTTATAAAAAAATTAATTATATTTATACATAAAGCTCTGATTTATTTGAATAATAATTTTGAAAATTATTCACTCCAAATTATAGAATGTAAAACAAGCTCATAATTTTTTTATATATATCTAATCAGTAAGTGTCAATTGAATTTACAATATTCATATCATATATTTATTAAGTATAATATAATAAGTTTTTTAAATATTCAAAAAATTAAAATTGTATTTTTCACCATCATTCTCCAGGTATTTTTACATGATGTAATAAGTTTGCACTTATTTTTACAATAAATTAGTTATATATTTAAAATCTTTAGGTATCATAATTTCAAAAATGTTAAAAAATGTATATATAATATAAAGTAAAAACAAAATCAGATACTAAAAAATCTTACTTAAAAATATATATAAAACAGTTTGACGTTTAATTTTTATAAAATTAAATATTAAATTTTGATAATTCTTAATTTATTGCATTCTCTTTAAAATCTGAATCCCAGATTGAATTTTATATTTCAAATAATTCCTAAAAACATTTTTATATTATATATTTTAATCAAATCACAAGTATAGAAGAGAGAAAATGTAGAAAGAAAAATTTATAGAGTTTTAAAAATCCATCATAATGATATACAATTTAAAACATTTTACAAATATAACTTTCATTGAAATCACACAGTAGACAAATTCTATCATAACATAAAACTATTAAACTTTTAGCAAAACTAGCCTAATACAAAAATTATGTTTTCAAACTAAGATCACATATCTAAGAAATTTCAATAATTTATAACTCTAGATCTTAAAATCTTACATCATTTAATTTCAGCATATGGTAACAACTGATTACTTATTTAAATCACAATTGATTTGTCATGATACAATTACAATACAATTTTAAATTGAATGATATTTTATTTCGATAAAACAATACTAAAAGTAACGTAGTCTTATGAAATTTTAATGACTGTCATTACGAAAAATTTTAATAATTAAAATTCGTTTGATATTTTTGTAGTAATTTAAATTTACACAGTTTGTATGGCCTTCAAATTTCTAAATAAATAATAAAATTTGTTTTGGTTTCTATTAATCAACAGTAAGTTTCCAGAAAGGCAAGACATTTTGAGAAAAAAGTTTCTTAAATAATTTAATAATTTATAAATTTGCACATTTCTTATTTCATTGTTTATATTATAAAATTTATTAAAATAATCGGATTAAAAATTTTCCTGTTTTAATACCCAAATAGGTCAAAATAATCAAAAATTGTCATAAGTTAAAATTATCCTACTTTTCGTTTCTTATTCGTATTTTTACCGATCTACAAGGATAGTTCAAATACCAAAATATATCCTGTAGTAGTCTAGCAACTCCAGTTCTTACAGAACAAAGATCAGTTAATAAACCGATCTATAGTTACAAGGAGAAACAAGCATCGAAAATAAGAAAATGTAATCGTCCCATTCGTGTTTGTTAAGTTCGATGAACTAGACACGCCCTTGGAAATAATAAAATGAGTAAAATTTGATAAAACTATCATTTTCGCTTTTAAATTTAACATTACACATTATATTCGTGCAGAAAAATCATAATCGCAACTTTAAAAGTATCTGGAAATAATCGACTCAAGGTAATTGGCAAAGTTTCAAAATAAAGTTGTTATTAAAAAATTAAATTAAAACAAATGGAAAATATTCCCATCATAGAAATCGTTTTGTATAAATATAAATTATTTAAAACTAGAAAAAGAAATTATTAAAATATTAACTTCCTCGTGTACAAATGAGGAAATATGGTCTTATTAGTCACATGACTGACTCAACACGATGAAGCTCCACCTGCTTAAAACTGAGCAAGAAAAATTAGATTAATAAAGCTGATCTACATCATTATATCTCAGATAAGACAAATCGCCTCTTTCAAATGATCAACAAAGCATAACAGATTCACCATCAAACCTGCTCGTCTGGCAACAGTTTGTCATCGCAATGAGATAATGGATGCGGTTGGACAAACTTCGATCTTTACGATATAATTTCATACTTTAATGAACGAAGCAAAAAAAAGTTAACACGAACAGAAAAAATTATCTCCATAAATTTATAATAATATTTTCGGTTTATTCAAATTCTGAAATTAAATTGCTAAAATTTCGTAAATGTCATGATTCGAAATTATATAATTAAAGTTTCCAGGATTAAATTTTACTTATCACGCAGCAACAGTTAAATCGATGAAGGATCTTATCTTAAATTATATAAGCGTCTCTCTAATATAAATATGACAATAAAAGTTACTGAAAAATATAATATAATAAAACGAAATTTCTCAAACTGAAACCAGGTCAACGTGGGTAGATAACTGAACAGGCTGTGAATCAATATTTCTTAAAAGTTTCCGTTAACCAGGTCATACGGAGTTTTACTCATAATAAACCCATTTACAAACCTTCAATTAACTGTAAAAATTTCGATGCACTATTAACAAACTTCAATTTTATTATTAGCTATTATTAGAACGTTGGCAAATATGGGCTTTAAAACACAGTAGGAATAATTATCATGTACTGTACATCATGAAAACGCATTTCATATAAACGCAAGACCTTGATAGTTAATTCCAATATTGAAGTTACAACTAAATTTAAGAAAACACTAGACCGACCATATCAAATTAGACCGAGGAAGCATTAACGTCAATCAAGGTTACATACAGTACAGTACATGCTAATATGTAACTTCCATATACAGTATGTATATATATATATATATTACACTAAACGATAAAAATCGCATGACTGTTTTCAAATATTATTTGATATAAATGTTGGAAAATTATATTAACACAAGATATGTTATCATAATAAATATATCTAGTTTATATTTGTTCGGTACACTTCAATTCATCTACTAGAAATCGTTCTTGAGTGAGTAACTTGATTTTTTGAGATCATCATCTTCGGCATCCATTTTAAACGCTTACATCGCTTCCACGTACTTCCTACCTCGAAAATCGTGGCGATATCACTCAGATGATGAGTCAAAGAATAGCAAATCATTCACTTCCTGGGAATTATTTCCGACACGTCACTCGACCTCACAAGAGTTCAATGCAGAATTTCCATCACATAACCCGTCTTGGCGTGGGATGATACACAAAGACGACCACAATAAGAAAACAACCCAATTTTAACCCTTACTTTTATTATAAGAATTGAAAGGAAAAAACATTTTTATATATATAACGATATAAATCATTCATTAACGTAGAATAATCATTTAAAATAACTAACTTAATATCATTTAAGGGGCAGCTTTAGACGGAGAAAATGTTGCGGAAGTAGTAATTATTAAGAGCAAAACCGGTCAATTATGTTATCTGCAGACAGATAAAAACGGGACTTTATTCTATATCACGAATACATATTTTTTAAATTAATTTCATATCTTATTAATGATTTTAATATAATCAAACTGGAAAAAAAATAAATTATTTTTAATTTTTAAAAATTTACCAAAAATAAAAAAACAGCGTATTTCAATGCCGCTAAAATTAAAAAATATAAGCATATAAAATATTCCGAAAGGACATAACACATCGACTGATCAATATAATATTCGCTACTAAAAAAAAATTCTTTTGGATAAATGGGTGTGTAGTTTAGGACGAAAAATACGTTAAAAACAACTTAAAATATATTTTAAATTATAAATTACACTAAAAACACATAAAATAACACCAAAAATACTCAATATTCGGCTTAAATGGATGAAAATTAGATAAATTACGGAATAAATCGAATCCGATGATTAATACAGATTAAGAATTAATGCCGATCCATCATAGATGAATAAGTAAGAATTAATACGATAAAAAATGCTTAAATAATATAAGAAAATGAATATAAAATAAGAAAAATATTCAAAATTCTACACCATTTTACATCCGAAAGCTCTCGTTAGGCTTAACATACCATCTAGTATTTTAAGCATTTTTTATCGATTTTTAATGTTCTAGAAAGCCTGAACGAAATCGGATTATATATAAACATTTATTTTAACATTAAACTATGAAAGTTTGTAGATTTCACAATTAAATTCCGTTCTAACTCACCGTCTATTCTTCCCCCACTCTGAAGCCCGGTACCGCGATACCGATAGGGCGCGGCAAAGCTCGTCTGTCAACTAATACGCCACCCTACTAAAAGCAAAAATATAATTTAATTTTTGTAATTATATAATAGTTATAAAATACGTGGAGTTATTATTAATAATAACGATGTTGTGTAATTTATATTTAAGTTATAAACATTTATTTATTTAATTTGAATTTTATAAATATTTATTCTACGTTAGAGGGGGGTGGCAAAAGTGAATACACTTACTCACTGTTAAACCTGATTATTTTCTTAATAATTTTAAACTAATTGACAATTCTTTTCGATATTATTAATTATAGTAAAATAGTAAATATAAAAATTAGTTTTAATTAGTTAATTTAATAATATTTATAAATTGTTTAATTTTGTCACGTGCTTACCTGCCAAATTACTGGAAGGAGAGCCTAAATCTCACGTGATGTCTCACTTAGCCAATAAGCCGCCAAAAAGATATTATAGTAATGTACTCGTGACGCAACAGAAATTTGACCAATAACGTATGGGTTTACATTGATTCTTGACCGATTCCGAAATGAACAACCAATCAAAATATGTCTTCTTTCATTCGGATGTATTGTATTAGGCTGCCGCCATCTTAGTGAATTGGAAGGATTAGTTTAGTCTAAAAAAGTTATTCGAAGTTTATCGTTTATAGGTGTTGATGTTTCGATCGTAAGCGAACAAAATGCCGTTATACTTTCAACGACCGNAAAAATTTTTTTAAAAAAACAGTTTATCTACTCGCGTATTTTTGTACAAATTTTCTCATGTTTTATTTTTTATGTCTAGTTGGCTGAAGAGGGGCCAATGCCCGAAACGCGTAATGTAAAAGGCGTCCCAACTGAATAAATAGTCAATAAGTTGCCAAGTGTTGATATATGTCACCTTAGTGTGTCTGCAAAGAAACAGCTTAATAACAACAACACGGTTTCATCAGAATCAAAAAATTATAATTAAATTAATATTTTCAATAATTTTGAAGGTTCTGGAAGAAAAAAAGTGAAACTCAAACCAGCAATTCATGCATACCTTGCAGTTGCATTGCCAATTATGCTTCCCAGACCTTTGTCCAATTCTCACTTCTAGGACTTCTTAATTTAGACTTAACCATACTTGATTACTTACAAATTACTTAGCATTTTATTAATAATAATAATAATAGCAGTAATATAGCCTGATATAATTTGGCAGTCATTTGGCTTTAACATATAACTTTGGGTTTGGATGTTTATATTTACTTAATGTTTGCCTAATATTACAGAATAGCTATCAAAAACTTTAAAAAAAAACTATAAAGTATAAAATAAAGTTAAATTTAATAATAATGATAATAAATGATACAATACAAACATTTGGCAGAAACAGTGAAAACTCCTGCTTTCTATTAACAACTGCTTGTAATAGGCAGATAAAAGTGACTCTATATAGCTAATGTTGACATGGCATTATACAAGGTGCAATCAAAAAGTTCCGGGACTGACAATGTGGCGCCACAGTTGGCTATGTACTGAATTTGCATGAACTAGGATTTGTAATAGACATTGTTATTTAGCTTCCTGCCAAATTCTATGCCATTATCATATATAGTTTTTGTTTCTTGCTATTTAGATTAGATGCATGTACTTATCAATTTGCAATTTTCATTGCTTTGTAAAAAGAATTCTTCTAAGAAATGTGTTTGTGTGTGTGAAATTTTGTTTTGAACTTGGCAAGGCTGCAACAAAAAAGAGACTGATTACACAAAATGAAACATGTATTTACAACTACGTCCTTGAAACCAAACAACAATCGACTCAGTGAAAAAATCATGACTAGTCCAGACCAAAGAAAACATGCTTTTTTGATAGGGAGGGAATTATTCAAGAACTTGTTTCACAAGGCTAAAATGTAAATCAAAAGTTTTATATGGATTTTTGAGAGATCTGCATGAAAATGCCAGATAAAAAAGACCAGATCTTTGAAAAGCTCAGAACCGGGGCCATATTCTGGTCACTTGTCTCTTCTTTTAGAGTCAAATAATGTCAAAACAAGAGATGAAATTCATTTCTCAGAAACAGAGGTGATTCTGGTTGTTGGTAACAATCATGTCTTTGTTGTTGATGTCACATTCTATTAGGTTGATTCTACATGTTCACGTTATCTCCATGTGCAACACAATACAGAATTTTAACCAATAAAATTGTAAAATTTTTGAAAATGCAGAGTATGAAATTATAGATTATATAGTAAGAAAATCACACAGTTCAAATAAAGTATGTAATTTTGACTGAGATATGTTTTTGTTTTATAACTGTTTTACAGATTGTAAAATCAAATGCTTCAAGTAATGTTCTCTTAACAAATAGAAATTTTAATAAACTAAGTTAGTTAGAAAAGCATGCAAACTTAGTTAAGAAATTAAAGCGTAATATTTCAAAAACTACTTAGAAAGACAGATGGGTGGAAGTAACAGATAGGATTAACAGCATATTCAATGGTTCATTAATTGATGTAAAATCATTTTAAAAAAAGATGGAGTCAGTGGTGTTTCTGAGTAGTAATTTTAAAAAAATCGTAAGCATTATCTCTATCTCAAAATATTCTTTCCTGAGATAGAGAATGTTCCCTAATATGATTGTCCAGTCATCCATATCGGATATAACAAAATTGAGGCTATAGATAAAAAACTGGTTGAAAAACTACTATATACTTATCTTTTAGAGACAAAAGATGTATGCCAGACATTTTTTATTGGACCAGTCCCAGAACTTTTTGACTGCACCTCGTACATTAATATTTAAAGAAATTAAATGAATATGCTTTAATTAGAATAAATGTAAAAATAGCTGATTGAAAAAAGGATGATCAAGTGGTAAACCAAAAGAATGATTGAAAAAGACAGATTTTAAATCAAAATCATATGATACATCACATGCCAGATGATTTCTCCTTACATGTTCACAATTTTCATATTTGGGTCCAAACAGTTGCCACCCCTGTTTCATACTTTATAATTGAACAGTGTAATGTTGATTAATGTTAAGATATGTTCCAGCTTTGAACTACACATTATTTCTATTTATTCATTATATTCTTATTTATATCTATTTTTAATCTGTTCTTTAAAAATCGAAAGATGAGATTTAGTTATAATCTAATTCAAGAATTGGAAAAAATAAATAGCAAAACTTTAATTTAACCTTCTGATAACTAATAAAATATGCTTTGTGTGAAGTAAATGAAATATGAATAACATATTTCAATATTTTTGAATTTTATCTATTTAGAATCATATCTAACAAACAAACTTGTTCATGGAGATGATAAAACTCAAAGAAAAAAACAAAAGATGAATATCTATTTTTTTTTTTTCATTATGTAGTATTAAAATGCAAACAGAGGAGTAAAAATGGAATGGAAAGATATATCAACTTAATCTGTAATAGTCTTTTTCCTGTTAATTCCATGAAGTTTAATCATGTTATAAGAATTAAGTTGTTCTTATTTGGGAGTTATACTGTTTAACAACACAATTGATCCTGTAATTTGTGTGACCTAATAACTTACACAATTGAACAATAAAATTCATTCTAAAAAACATTAAATTCTAGACTCTACTTATTAATTACATATTTTTTCCACTTAAAATATTTAAACAATAAATCTATATTTACAAAAACAGATTTTGTTTTCACATTTGGGTCTGATTTATATAAAGGAAAAGGTTAAAATGACATAGGGGTGTTTTTATTGTAACATTTATGAAACTATATACAATATGCAGATCAATCATCTGCCACTTTAACTGGCCATTGGCATTTGACTTTTATTCAATTTTTGCATGTCACTGAAACAGTGTGGTTATTTTGTTATACTGTAATGATTACATAATGTAATTTACAACATGAATGATGTAAATGTAAACATGTCATTACAATGAAAATATGTGCTTTAGAACACATTGTTAAGGGGAATCTGTAAAACAAAAGTTTACAACAAAATAGGCAGTCATTATAGAACTTCTGCACACGGATTGTATTAGAAAAAATTCTCATCTTGATATATGCTGAAGAAACCAAAATGTGAATATTATTATATTGATGGAATTTGTTGTGGTCTAAAGAGGAATGTTAGAGAGGAACATTAATTAGTGAATTGATTATAAAACAGAAAACTCTTGTTCTCTATTTAAAAATTAATAATGTGGGTGAATTTTTTGCAAAAGATGGATGGTTTTCACATTGGAAAAAAATTACATTTTGTTCATCTATAAGTGGAGAAAAATTGTCTGCTGATTCATCTGCAGCTCACACACAAATTTTAGAGAATTGTAGAAGAAGGCTTATACTCTAAGCAAGTTTGTAATGTAGATGAGACAAGTATATAAACTTTAAGCTCTGTATAAAAGTATATAGAGCTAATGTCATAAAATGCTTCATATATAGTGATACAATTTAGCTCAATATTGTAATATCAGAGCTTGTAGCAACTCACTATTCTCATTAATTTTGAGATTGAGTGTATGTTACATGCTATTTGCCATATTTATGAGGTTTGTGACAAAATAGATTGGATAATCATTAATAATGTGTCTACCTCGCAACAGTTCATCATGCTAGAGAAAGTATGGTAATGTGAGCAAAAGGAGGGCTAGAAGGACTAGCAATTTCTCATAGCATAATTTTGGAGAACCAGCAGTGTCACTTTACATAGCAAATTTGGAAATGATCCAAGAATGTTTTCAAACTTGCATCATTTTTATGTTGAATTTTTATTAAAATTTCAAAATATGAAAATATCACCAAGATGTATTTGGACCAAGCAAATCTAAAATAACATAATTTATGCATATTATTATCTATAATTAATTAACACAAAAATGCAACAACAGCAGCTGATGATTTGATTTGGAAAAAGTAGACCTGGAGTTTAATGCCATCTTTGAAGAGAATTTTCTACTGCATAGTTAATCATGTGCTAATCACTAGTTGGCCCTTTTATGCCAAACTGTATTGGCTGCAGCATGAGTCAGTAAAAAATTCTCAGTGATGGCAGTAAATCC